TGGTTTTCAATTTCACGGGAATACTTCAGTTTTCTTCAATATGGACTTCTTCAATATGGGTTCTGGAGAGTTTTTTCTTCTTGAAATCCACATCAACTCTGAATATTCACATCATACATAGTTCGATGGGAGAGGCGACAACTGGTTCGTTGGATACAGAGAGTCAGGGGATCCTTTCTACAAATTCAAGGATGTTAGTTCCGTCAGATCCCCTGAACTTTGGTGTTTGGGACCACACGCCATGCTAAGGGCACTTTCCGGACTCGCCTTCTTCGTTCTATCTACTTGGCTACCTAGAACTCTTCGTTTTTCTAATTTTCGTCACGTAAATAGCCTAGAAGACGAGATCTTCATACATTCAGCTCCATCTTGTCAAAATTAAGGATACATTTAGAATGCAATGGGACGTCTTAATCGTTATAGCTATGATTTTCAAGCATTGCAACGATGTTTGTTAGGAAGGCATTCTTTATTTTTTGAGAAGACTAGAACTCAAAAACTTGGAGGCTTTTCAATTCGTGAAATGATCGTGAATACTGGAGACGAAAGCTCAGACTTTTCACTATCTCAGCGCTAAACTCCCACAGGCAGAGAAAAAAGACCAAACTATTATGAAAGGACACAATCTAATATGAGGCTGCAGAGTACTGAAGAGAACCGAACCAACTTGACGTGATTGTTCTTTTGTGGTACGCTCCAATTCAAGCCATTCCGAGTGTGAGTCGATGAAAACTTATTGCTCAGATTGCGAATAACAGTTGAAAAATGTCGATCACGGATACGATACTGACTAGGTTTCACTCACAAAACTTCGAAGTACGGACTAGATCGTGTGCCGAGCTGGAGGATTGTAGATGATTTATTGGCCCCTATGACCTTTCGTCCGCCTTAGCAATAAGCTTTGAGCTGAACAGAAGCTTATGGCCAGGACAGTCAGGACCAAAACAGATTACGGTGGTTCTAGCTCAGGTGTTGTCAGTTGCTAAGGCGGATGTCTTTGAGAAACGTGCGATGAGTGCTCATAAAACGATCGTTCTACACCTGCATAGGCGACAACCTACTCCACGACAGATTTACAGCTTGCCGCCTTTGATTCGCGAGATGTGACTCTTCCGGGGAGCAGTGACTCATCTAGCAAGCTAACATGATGGATTAGTTCCGTACTTCCTCTGAAGCTTGAACGCCAACGAAAAAAAAACTGGCAGCTGAACCATGTAGTCGTCAAGTAAAAAAAATGGTCCCCTCCCAGCAAGCAGTGTTTCTGAGTTTTTCACCATCACCTTCAAGCACCCACCACACCTCTTTCACATCACTCAATTCTGGTTCCTCTTTCCATCGCCTTGTCGTAAACGCGCCCTCTTTCTGGCACTCGCTGCTGTTACACCTCTTTCGTCGCCTGACAAATTGCTCTAATAAGACGTGCCCTTTGAGAAACGTTTCGGTCTGGGTAAGCCATGAACAGTTGCCGACAAAAGCACGACCATTAGATCAGCTTATATCGCTTTGCGGTCTTTTCTCTCACACTTGAAACTTCCTAGCGTTGGGAGAAAACCAGAGATCGAGACGAGCAAATCAAAGCCACAGTACTCCCCGCATGAAGGATGGTTGAGATAGTCGGCCAAGGCGTCCTGTCGTTTCGATCATCATCATTGTGTCAACTGAGAGTTGTTGCCCGCGTGCATGTACCGTATCAGAGACTACAGTGATTCGATAATAAATCATTACAACGGGCGTGATGTGTCCCATGATTTGGCTGCTCGGAGCTGAAATGCCCCTGGTGATAACATAATCGAGCCAATGCTACGAATTTTCCAGATTACCCAGAAGTTGACCTTTTTCATACTTTTCGTTGTTACACATTTGAATTGGATGCTCGTTCTTTCGATTACGCTGACTGACGCTAACTAGCGATGACAGTCCCGACTAATCACATCGTATCGCTCAGNCTGAATGCTCATTTCACGCCCAAATATACGTTGTCAGGTCGCTAGCTCAGTTTTGAGAGTCACAGATGAGTTTTAAAACGGTCTGAACTAAGCCTACCAGTTTTATAGCTATTCAGATGCATATGTAAGCACTAGTTTACTGTCATAGCNTTGTGGGAGAATCAAACACAAGTACCAACGTTTGAAGGCAAATGGTACGAATCCCACTCAGCTATTCCAGTTCCTCATCATTAGCCCTGGGACAAAGATATTGTTGAAATACACAATTTGTAAATGTGACAGTAACAAATCACAAAAGTAACAAATCAGAAAAAAAAGTCTGGGTTGAAGTGTGCTGGTATTCGTCTATGTTGTCAGTACGTTGGTAAGATTTCGACTGCCAAGAAAACCTGAAATTTGATATTCCGTGGGAACAATCAGTCGTTAACACTCAGATGGTGTCGGAGGAAATTAGGAAATGTTTCACAGTGTCAATGAAGAAAAACGGTCAAAGTGGTACTATGAAGTGGACCAGAGGGCACTGGCAGAATCAAGCATTCCCCTACCTGGGTTGCTGTCTCGAAAACCTAATGTGGACCCATCCCCTTCACTAATCCTAGTGGAGGGTGGATCCTAACTTATTTTCTTGTGATGAGTTGCAAATAAAACTATTTATGGTGGAAAAAGGATGAAAGATGCTGATCTCGATGCCACATGGTCACCAACGTTTTTTCAAGAAAAGTACTTCGATTGAATCTATTTAAAGTTCATGAGGAATGAACATTACAGTAGTAAAAGAAAGTGATAAGTGATAATTGCTGATCCACACGGAACCATAATGGAAGAAGGCGAAGTACTGAAAGTGGTGTTATAAAGCTGTAAGGGAACAGGACTGAATGCGCAAAACAGAGCTCGAAAACACAGACAAGCAGCAGATTGCCCTAGTGTCTGCCGCGAGGTGAACAGGCGATGGCCTACGTGTCGAACGTTTCACTGAGTTTCATCAGCAAAAACTCGGGCTTTGTCAGGATCCGTAACCACTAGAAACATCCCCCAGTATATCGTTATACGATGCACCTTATACGATAGGACCGTACACATTTCTTCTCTTTTCGGGGTATCCTTTGCGCGTTTTCTTACGGTCCACTGAACAGCTGATATAATCACGATTTAATCAAATTATGATGCGCTCCGCCGATACGACCGTTGTCTAAATGTTTGCGTCGTTGTATGTTCACAATTTATTTAGTAATGTGAAAGTAATAGTACGGTAACTTGGCAAAACATCCGGACATAAATAGTCCGCAATTTTGTTTTGAAAAAATTTAATCTTGTCTCGGAGCACCTCATGCATCTGTTTGGATCAAAATTCACTTCGTATCTTCATCGATACGACCGGTTTTAAGCGATGTTGAAGCAAATTCAGGTCGAACTGGAACCAAGAGATAGAAGATCCATTGCCCTAGAAAATTCTAGGCCTAATAGTTGCTCAGTTCAGTCCAAAGTGGCCCTCAGATCAAGCCCAAATGACATGTTTAGCGTCTGACGGTCCTCAGTGTGGAACTGGCCGTTCTTTTTTACTGAGAGCTTGGTGATGTTTCTCTTTCGAGAACCTTAAAGCGAAATCATCAGCATGAAAATGGTTCGAGATAAACCAACAGTTTTGTAACTGTACCGTTTTTTGAAAGCCTAAGAGGTAGGGGGGTCCATCAGTCATCGAACATCAGCCATCGGGCCGAATGGTTGCTAGCAGAGGGAGCTTTATTGTCTATTGATCTCAAATCTCTTGAACGATTAATTAGCGCAGAAGCATCTGATGATCTTATCGCTATTTCTAGCAATGTTGAAAGAAGCTTCAATCACAGCAGATTTTTATTTATGATTGACATTCCATCGAATTTCTGAGCGAAGTCTGGGGCCTGCCTGATTAGGTAGTGGAGGGGGCTCAACAACAAGTTGGCGGAACCCCTCAGCTCACAATCGTTATCAACTCAGCCTTTGCTGCGATACTGGTAGAAATCGAAGATGATGAGCGGTAAGTACCATTTCACCCCTAGATGTTGATCTGGAGTAGATGGCATTGTAAACAGATCTTCGAAATGGAAACGACCAATTGGCATCATTCAGAAGCCGTGAGATGGTAGTAGTGAGTTTGTAGTAAAGTTGATAATCAAATGATTGGGTTGCGACATTTATGGCAACGAACCGGGGGATACTGTAACTCATTGTCTGACTGATCAATCACTGTAAAATAGAACTGTGAAAACAGACTAGCTTTTGCCGGCCATTTCGCTAGAACGCCCACTGTGCCGAAATTTTCTTGTGGAGGGCGGTGGATCCTATCAGTACTATGAGATCTTGTCTTGACAACGGGATGGGAGTGAAGTGTTAGCGGCTCAACTCTATTATAGAGTGGCGATTGCGTCATTCAAGTACTGTTGCGTGATTAGGCACCCGATTATGAGACCGATACTACTTGGACAACACGACAACACCCCGATAAACACGGTATACAATAGTACTTGAGAAAGATTCGAAGAATTGGGGAGCAAGTAGCAATCAATCCGGGCGATGCACCGAGGTACGGCGGTCGCGCTTTTTCTCACAGCAGTAGCTGGTTAATCCCCTTATCACCACCACCACCACCTTTGTGATAATCGGTCGCATCGTGGAAGCCCCTTTCATGGTTTGTTGACTGATCGCTAGTGGTGACCTGTTTGATGTTGCCGACAAGTGCACATAACAACTCCGTTATTTCTGTGAATAAATTCATTCAGAAAATGAATTCGCTCTATACAACATAATGAAAAAGAAGAATGAGAACCGGTCAAGCCACAATTTCTGTAAGTAACACGCATAAATACAAATTCAACGAGAAAAGCAGTGTGAAGATAGAAAGCATGAAAAATTCACTCCAATTTTGGTCTTTGAGAAGAAATCTGAGTGATAAGCTCGACAAAGGAAATCAGATCAGTGGAAATACTCGTCATCAATATGAACTTGGGAAATTCTATTCAGTATTGCACTAACAAGACAGAAATCCCAGAGAGAACTGCTGAGTTATAAGAGCAGGGGTCAGTCAACTTTGTGCAGGGTGTGTACACATTCAGATGCCGTAGACGTCAACGGAGTCTGGGCGGCTAAGGCAGCCAATAACTTCTGATGGTCAACGTTTGATGACATTCCTGGATAAAAGTACGGTAATCTAGGTGGAATGTTTGGCATCATCGTTGGCACCATTGCCATCGGATGACGGGGCAATGATGATGGCAGTTGTGGTGCAGGTGGAGGAAGAGGTGAAAGGATCGTCGGCATTGGCAATGGCATTCGCGACGGTACCATTGGTCCGATTGGTGGCAGAAATGGTGTGAAGGTGATCGGCGACATATCCTGCGGTTCCGGTTGCCGCTTGAACCTTAAATGAGAGGCATTGGTGGTCTCGTTGTGTACAAAACACCTGTTTAGTCAGCACCAGCGCGTTACCCTGTCGCGTATTATTCGTTGTGTGTTGTTGGCGGAAAAGCGAATTCAAGATCGGATTATACTCATCGATAAAGAGGCAACACAATCGAATAATGCGCTCGCAGCCTGTGGCGACCTGGTCTACTGTAGCAACCCAGAAAGCCTCCAGCAGATATACACATGGTTCTCACCTTTTTCGACGCCGTAGGAATGAACCATTGTCGAACATATCTTGAGCTTTCGGATCCAATGACCAGTAGTTACCTTTGCCGGGGTTTCCTGGCTCTCGGGGAATTTTGACAAAGCAGTCGTTCAAACTCAAGTTATGGCGGATCGAATTCTGCCATGCTGGGAATTTGTCTCTAAAATAGGGTAATGTTAGATTGGTGTCAGTGTAATGGAACTTCTAAGAATGGGTGTATGAGTAAGCCAGGATTTCTAGGAGCTACTAATCTATGCGCACACCCATGCGGTTGCCAGAAAAGCAAGTTGATGTCTTCGGAACTCCTTTTTACCAGCACACCAACTTTTTCACAAGCTATAGCGTTAGATTAAGAAAATTCAAATTTCAACAAACCTGTAATACTGAAATCGCGACATAATGAAGTCACAAATTTGTGATAACGTCAGTTTTTTGTCCTCGGCGTTCAAAATGGCCATAGCAATGAGGGCTATATAGGAATAGGCAGGCTTAGTGGCGCCGGATTTTGAGCGATGAGAAGACATGCTGGAAGGACTGAAATGAAGTAATCGAAGGACAAGCTGAGGAAAAGCGCATAGAGCTATAACCAACCTCACGGACTCCAATTCACGGTGGGAATTCTCCTCAGATTGTTCAGGTGAAGCCGACGTCTCTTTGGGTCTTGAGCTTCCCTCTTTGGCTTCATACTGTGAACATTCAGGACTCTCTGACGACCGTGGCACTCGACAGCTCAGGTCTTCAGGGCTGCAACTTGTGGATGGAACCGGACTCGTCGCTGAACATGCAGTGGATACATTCAGTGAAGCCGATTCTTGTGAGACTTCTGGCTGGGATTTTGGTGAATGGGCTGCAGGGGTGTCATCGGTACGTGTCTTCTTGGGCGGCTCAAGGCTCACGAGATCACCATCGGCGGATCTTTTTCTTGTGTTCGCCTCGGCTGCTGCCAAAATCGAGTCCATAGAGAAACGCATTTTAGTTGTAGTGGACATGGAAAATCTGAAATATTAGCTATATGCATATATTGGGAGTTCACCAATGGAGACGAACATGAGAACGGAGATGAAGGGGGATCAACTTCGGCGTCGACCACTGCGTAAAAGACAAAAATATCGACCATCTAGCCATCATACATACACCTTTCGGCTAGAAAAGACAAGAGGAAAGGTAGAAGGAGATTAAGGCAGACCATGAGACTGATATTGGTTGGAACCTATCTACTAGACTAATATTCGTCGGTTTTCTTTCGCCTACAACTCGTTCGCATCAAAACACCGACAGCTGGGTTGAAATTGAATCTTTTCCTAGGCTAACGCCGTTTATTTTGAAATGATCAGCTCGGCATCTCCGATTACAGTCGACTTAGCTCATAATTATTACTAAGTAATGATCCCCCACTTTTACTTAGACTAGATCAAACAAAATTCTGCCGTCGAGAAGCAGCCGTACGGTGGGCACAGTGGACTTGGATCCGTTGGATGTTACGATGCTGGAAACAGTTGTGAAGTTCCTTAGCTTCAGACGGTTGTTTTTGAAGAGAATAACATCGAACTAATTGTTGTTTTAATGGGGTAGACAAGAAGTACGATGAGGCTGGGGAAAAGTACTGATAGCGAAGCAAATTATTGGCACAGCCAGGCATCGTTTATTTAGCATCGCAAAATCGACGGCAAGCTACTGTGGTGCTGGAACTGATAAAATATGACAGCACACATTGTAAAACGTCGTAAATGCGTTGAACAACTCGAAACTGCACAAGAACCATTGAGTATACTGAAGGAAACCTGTATGTAACACAGTCTGATACCAGCAACGGCACCAGAGCGCCGTCACCACCCGACCATTCTGGTATTGCCAGCCAACCAAAGCTGCCATCAAGAAATAGAGGAAATGTGCTATTTGTGTCTGCTTTTTGTTCAGAAATCAAGGAAAATACACGCACGCTAAGTTCCGAGCGCTCTGAAATTTTTTTCTTCGAAATCGGTTCCAAATCAGTTCAGTAATCCAGAGTTCAATCTTATCACCAGGCTATATGAGCCACGTGACTGAAGGGCTCTGTGAAGGGCCAATCTTCGTGAATTCTCTCATTTGAAACGTCCAAACTGCTTCAACACTGATAGCTGCATGGTGAAAAAAAAGCAAGAAAGAGAGAAGAGGTAAGTGATGGAGCATAAACCCCCCACAACACCATTGGACCATTGTTCAAAACATCCAAAGCGAAAAAAACAACAAAGAAAGCTGAATCGATTGAACGAGTAGAAGGAACGGTTGTTAGCTGGAGCTGACCAAATTGACAAATCACACTTCAGAGCAATCATGACAGCAATGAATCAAAAAGAGATGTGGAAGAGGCGGATCCACCACCAAAACATGCCTTTCCTAAAGTTTTCTTAGGTTAGACCTCTCCGACAACCCAATGTAAACGCCAGGCTACCACACGCTGATACATCAATGTGGGGGCGGGGCCTAACACGCTCATTGGTCAGGAACGCCCATTGGGTCGACAAATTGATTCGGTGACGACTGGCGGCCATGCCAAGTCAGCTATTCTTGTCCGAATTTCACTTATTTCTCCATATTATATACTAATCTGATTGCAAGCGAAAGCCTGCCCACCCCTAACTGTACGAATCATCCCAAATTCATGAAACTGGCTAATTAAATAGTGTTATTCTAACGACACCCCGTAATCGATACACGCATAAATGAGCTTTTCCTAATTATGCTGATGTTCTTATGACAATTATGAGGCGTTCTGATTCTTGACAGCTGTTGTCTAAGCAAAATATTGGTGCTTCAGGCTATGGTGACCAGAGTAACTACACCACATGCTGGTGGGGCTGTTACGGTAACACAAGCGCACACCGCTGGAATTCGTCCATGATGTTGGTGTGTCAGGGAACAGTTGCTCCCTGCTAAACATTTATATAAGAGACGGGCAGAGGAAACAAGGGGTTTTCGCAGAGCGGAATGACGGGTGGATATGAGGCTGCCACCTAAATTGCTACCGACAGGCGATACCGGCTGGAAACTTTTTCGGCTTTTGAGCAGCGGCCATATATAGTGGTAGAGGAGGGCATGGGAATGATGGGCCCCTATATATGNCAAGCGGAAAACAGGAAAACACAAAGTGACTTTCTCCTAGGAGTTTTTCATCCCACAGCTTGCTCTAGGCTGAAACCGCCTGATCCTTTCTAATCGATTCACGTGATGCTTTGTTCTCTGTAGATAAGAATAGACTAGCCAGGAGCTTTCTATCAGCGAGGAGTCCTCTCCCAGAACATACTGGCGCTCAGAACCCGTTCCAGAGTTATTTGTAGCTGTACAAATGTTATTCGACAATGTTATCGAGCGCGATCTTGCCTTTTTCTGCCTCTTCGAATTAGACGCGCCACGCATCGATGATCTGCTCCGGTCTCTATCCCTTCTCCTGCTCCCAAACCATCCTCTCGTTATGCCGAATCGCTATGCGATACAGGTATAATGTGGTATACAAGTTTAAAGGTTGGAAATTGATAGAATGCCAGCGGTTTTTTAGGGGTGACGGGGACCTTCGTGTGAAATCAGTCAAAGAAATGATAGAAAATGACAGTGAGCGCGATTCCGTTGACGTATAGGCGTTACTCGCGACTGTTTTGGTACAACAGATTGTAACGAAGCAGCTCAGGATGAGACAGTTGGTGAGGGAGTGAATGAGCCGATGAGGGTCGAGACAAATTCGCAATGATCACCTTCGACGGCACGGCTGTTAAAGCGATTCATCATTGGATTGGACCACCAGACAAATTGGGGCCAACCAGGGGTGGGAAAGATGCATTTCAGGGGACGAGTTGTTGTTGTTGGGCAGCTAGGTTCAGATCCCTGAGGTGTTCCTCCCCAAAAAAGCGAAATTACGAGATCAGCGGAAGGAGTTTCCCGATATTCGGACTTCCTTGGGAGTACCGTCGAAAAGGAAGTTTCCACGCAATTATGTTCGAAAGGCTTCCGCTCGCAATGTGATTTGTATCAAAAGTGGAGAAGGGCGCCCAAGATGAAAGACATTGGAGACGACTCACACGAGATAGCGATAGGTAGATTATGTTGATGGAGGGACGTAGTGGGTGCACGGGCGGACAGGGCGGTCAGATCTGAGTGATGACAGAAGCCCGACGACACGACATCGTTCCCGATCAGTAATGGTTGTTCGGTTAGCTACAGTGGACAACCGAAACAACCAAAATGAACGAAGAGAATCAGAGTTTTGAAGTAAACGTCATAGAAATTATAGGATATTTTGACGGCCACCTGGATATCTATTACCGTAACCTGGAAGATTTTCGATGTACAGTTGCTGCGAAACTTTCTTGGGGTACTTAAGGCTGTACTTGAAGTCTGAATTTTTAGATTTCATTTTCTCCTGAGGTGAAAGGATTAAAGAAGTCATAATGATGAAAAGGCGTTCTTCTGGGACCTCAGCAAAAAGAAGTTAACCGAACTTTGACGGCAATTCACTATGAAGAGTATCGAGCACGTTGCAAAAAAATCTTCCAGATTTTGCTGTGAATGGAGAGGTTCATCGAGCAACGGATGCAGAGGACGAAGGCAACATTTAAGAGTTATTTTTAAAAAAAGTTCTCTCCTATATTTGGACGACAGGAACCGGTACCCTACCAACTCAAACAGATCAGATGCTATCGTCTTCTCGTCACAATCTCATATACTACACTATGCATCGCTAACCTAACTGCGGTAATAACCCATTCATGTCAGTTGCAAAACAGCTCTAACCAAATTTGAGAGAGTGAACGGCGTTACCATTGATTTCTCAGGTAATCTCTTACTAAGAGGAGGATCTACTTCGGTTGCTGCTATACAAAATGAACACAGTTAGAAACGAAGACATCTTCACCAGGAGTGAGGTTCAGACACGGTAAAAAGACTATTCAGAAGACTAGAAAAGGAAATTGGTGACGTTGCCAGTGTTGACAGTAAGCGGCAGCACACCTGTCCCAGCCGTGTATCCAATAAGTGTTAACGACGTTCATAATTGTTTAGCTATAGCTCTTTAGCCATAAACGACTTTCTATCTGGCTTAACTGGCATTCATATTATTTGAATACTACGATCAGAAACGTCCCTTCTTTCTTCGTCACAAAAAGTGCCACTGTACCGAACAAATGTCTTCCGAGTGATGCGTAAACGCTATTGCTACCACCACTTAACGGCAAAAACAAGTCTACCTTGGGACAAGGGGATGGGGGGATTGATGATGTTGTGTTCTCTTCTTAACCTTTCAGTTTTCAACGTCTAGCTGCTTCAGGCCCTCGGTGCTGAGCGTACGAGTTCAAGGCAAATACTCATACCTCATTCAGCTATATCTATGAGAATGTCGCGAATAATTCCGCATCTAGTGTAATTGTTTATGGGTAGACTGCGAAAATGCTCGCTCCGTCTCCAGCTCGGAGAAGGAAGAGAACTTGCCTGGAACCACACCACGAGAGGGAAATAAAAGCGAAAATGGAGCAATCATAATATGTTTGTGGAAATCCCGTGCATGGAATACTGTAATAATTGTTGGCGCACAGCACCAATAACCTGCCATAATGAGGTACGTTATGGCTGTGGAGAAGTTAAATGTAGCAAAAACACCGAATAACTACTACTACATAAGTATCGTAATGACAAATTGCTTTCGATGGCGAAACAGGT